CACCTATTTCCCCCCAAGACCTGCTCAGAGTAACCCTTTTTCAGCCACTCTCATGCCATCAGATTTAGGCCAACATTGTGCTGCTTTTCCAAACTGGATCGTCGGCAGACGGAGGATCCTTTAGTCACGGAGGTGACTTTTCTGGCAGGCCCTGTTGCGTTTAATCAAGTTCCTAGTACCTGTTGAGGACAGTGACCGCTTCGGCATCGTCCTTGCAGGCCAGCAGCCGGTCCATGTTGTAGTCCAGGACGGCCAAGCCCAGCTGCAAAATGGCCTTTATCCCATCGTAGAAGAAACAGTCGACCACGTTGACCGCGCTCTCAATGGGCAGGACGCTGATGAAGAGGGTGAGGAACCACGAGAGGGAGACGGAGGAGAAGAACGTCATGTCGGTCATGTGCTCCGTCAGCTGGGGCAGGTAGTCCCTGATCAGATCCTCGAAGACCGCTTGGTCAACCAAGGCACCTGCGGGAGAGGAGAGGCCTGAACACAGAGGCAAACTGCAGCAGGCCCCTTGGCCAAGCCAACGAGGGCGGCTCCTGAACCCACACCCTAAGCAGGGCTTTGAGAAACGGCCCCTTTCACGCAACATCGCCAGGAATCGACCAGCCAGTCTGGCCACGGCCGGCCCCACAGGAACCTTGGCATTTCTCACCAATGATTCGCCGATTAAAATAGTCCGGCAACATCCTTTCGCACACGGCGACTAAGAGCCAGAAAGCTTCCTCTTCTTTGGCATAAAGGAGCAGGACTGAGGTCAAAATATTCATTGCCTGTCAACGATCAGAGAGACAACAAAGCTGTTACAGGAATACCGAAGGGCAGCTTGGGTTTGATTTGCGTAGGCACCTGTGTGGGTGCGACAAAAAGCTGGAAGAAGGAATGGAGCAGAATGGAAGTGGTTGGCATGCTGGATAAGAGGACTTGGCGCTGCAACATTCTGTTGCACAACCCATTGACAGATGTCATACTATTGGAAACAGGCCCGAAGGGAGAGCTGATGAACACGTTCTGTTGAGCACAGAGGCACTTCTTCCCACCTGACAATAGCCAATCTTCGGGTTCCGGTAAGCGTACGCGGTGAGAACCCTCCGGAGAGCGGAAATTCCTGTGTCGCTCTGGAACGCGGGATGCTCAGGCAAGGAACGGCGCAGATCCCTTTCGATTTCGTCCGTCGCCAGACTGCACGTTCCCAAGGACGTCTCGACCAGCTCCGCATAATAGCCGGGGTGGGTGGCCATGTCGTTCACAGCACCTGCCAAAGCGTTTGTGACCTGCTGTTACAAAGCAACACGTCCAAGAAGACCTGCAAAGTTTCCTAGCGAGACACCCAAGCTCCCCATGCATCCAGACGGCATCCAAGGGTGCTGGATAAACTCCATGGACTTGAGGCTATCCAGATACTGGACACAGGGCAGCTATTTCATGAGTCTATTTCACACCAGGCAAGCCATTGCGCAAGGCCCTTTGGATGTGTCTTGCAAAAAACATAACGTTCCATTCTTTTTAAAACAACAATGATAAGCCATCTTTTATGGTAAAAAGGTAGCATTAGACTCAAACTACGGACCAGTGCTTCTCAGACTGGAGGCTTTAGCCCCTAGAGGGATCCTGAAGCATTCCTGTGTGGGTTGCAAGTGAAAGACAAGGACGAACTATCACTGGCCCCTGTTAAGACCCCCTCCCGACCGCTTCCCCCTGCAGTGCTTCCCAGCCTCCAGTCTACAACCCCCATCACCACCAGCGGCCTTGGCTCGTGGTCAAGGATTCCAGGAATTGTGGTCCAAAGCCTTCTGGGGAGTTATGGCCAGATCCAGTGCTTGAAATGCAAACCACATGAGAGGTGTATGTGTATTATTTTTTTTAATATGGGGTGTGCAGGTTTACTAGCTTGGCACATTTTATGAAAAGGTGGGGTAACCATGTCCAATGGGCCAGAGATGATGGGAGATACAGCCCCTCTGTGGGTTCTAGCACTGCATGATTTGACCGAGAGCTACCTGACAGTCCTAATGAGAGCAGCCCCACTGAGTCAATCATTGAATGGTAAATCAAACTTTATGTAAAGCTAACTGATTCAAGGGTTATGCTCTAGGTGGGATTAGCCATGGTGTTTAGGGCTTAATCTTCTACACAGGCGTTTCTGCATTTCTAAAACCTCTCAGAAGCCACTCTTTTTCTCATGCTGATCTCCCATTCCATGTTTCTGAATGTTCTAGAATATTAAAGTGCAAGGCAGGGTACAAGCTGGATTTCTAAAACCTCTCAAAAGCCACTCTTTTTCTCATGCTGATCTCTCATTCCATGTTTCTGTACTGAATGTTATAGAATATTAAAGTGCAAGGCAGGGTACAAAGGGATCCAATAAAATAAGGAGCTATCATTCTAACCACCACCACCACCACCCTCTCTAGGAGAGATCCTACCTGAGAACAGAAGCCACAGTTCTCCTCTGAGCACCTCCGGAATCCCTCGAACAATGAGGTCTCGGGTCTTCCTCGTTCGAAACATACCGACTCCACGACCGCATTCGATGAAAAGGATGTTCCAGGATTGCTCTTTCATTTTCTCTTTCAGCTGACAAAGCAAGGGGATTAAGAAGCCTTCTAAGTATCGTTGCGCAAGGTCTGAACAGGACAGAAGAAGGTCGGCTCGTACAAAGCATGCCCGGTGGCGAAAGCAAGGGTCTAAGCAGGAAACGACAGGAAGCTACAGACAGCTTCTGTGGTTTAAAAGTGAGAATCAGAACTTGCGACACGTTATGTGGTTGGCCTACAACAGGTTCACTACCTGCTGATTCACTTATTCACTGCCTGAAATATTAAAGAAAAAGCCTCCAAAATACATATTTATACCTATTCCAGGGTGTGTTACCAGAACCAGCCACTAGAGGGAGCCAAGACACCGTGCAGCATAGAACATGCAATACTTTGGTCTCTTCCCCCCCCCTCCCCCACAGATACTGCAACCCTACTGCAAGTTCAAACTTGTGCCATGTTTCAGGAGTAAATTAAATAAGTATCGTGATTTTCTGGTCTCAAGGACATGAAGGCCTGCCTCTCATCCCCTCTTCCTCCTCCTCTTCCTCTATGAGTGTATCTGAACAACTAACCCACTTAAAACAATCTAAAACCAAACCCACCAAGGGGAAAAAATTAAAATGTACAGCATCTCCTATTAAAGCTTCCTTTTCTCAGCAGCCTGTCTGGTCGCCAGAAACTTTCTGAAAGAGAAGGCCTTTACCTGTGAGGGGAAGGTGTTCCACAGCCTGGGAACCGTTGGTGAAAAGTACGTGGTGATGCTTTTCACCAACAGGTGAACCGGTGATATTGGTGAGACCCAGGAAAGGTAGCCCCGAATATTGAAACACTGGCTGAGATCCTCTTGTGTCAACTCTGCAGGAGCCAATGGCGATGACCTCATCAACCTGTGATCCTACCATTCAGTCCAATCCAGGCTCGCCCAATCCAATCCAAAGCTTCTCCCCGACACCCCTTTTGCCCTTGGAAAGCCATGGGGAGCTTTGGAATCAAGGGGAAGGAGGGCGCCGTTGGGATCTGAAAATTGCTGCCAGATTCCCACTGCCGGGAATGGGGCTGCTGGAGGTGATCCAGTGGTTATTTTCAGCTCTCTCTACCACCACCACCACCCCTGGCAGTCCCAAAGGTTTCTCCAGGTCAAAAGGGATCCCGAGGGAACTTCAGAACCCGAAAGGGAGGCGGGGAAGGAAGCTTTGAATTAAGCGACACGGATGCAATGGCCAGCCGTGTGAAGACAAGCTCTCTGTGGAAACATGCAGAGAAGGGTCGGACGGCAGGGCTTATCTATCGTCTTCTCACCATCTTGGAGTCCAGATTCTCTGCATCCTGAGGGTGAAAGACAGTCATGAGGGCTTCTGTGCTAACGGTCTTGCTGCTGTCCTTGTGGCTGGCCATGGGTTGCCCCTCGTAGTCCTCCAAGAGAAGACCCGCGCTCGGGCAAGTGGCAACCTGCAAGGGGCATTCAGAGGAGGAGCTGGGCACACAACGCTTGGAAGTAACAAGAAGTAACAGTGACCGGTAATGAGTTACTTTTGGGGTACAAAATGTGCAGCAAAGTTACATTTCCAAAGTATGGTCACAAAGAGAGTCCGAAGTTACCCTAATCAGTCTAATCAGTAATAGCAAGTATCGGGTCTCAACGGCGACTTCTAGCAAGCTCCAACTGCAGAAACCCCCAAGGAACGGACTGGCAATTCGTTAGGTGGCCACGGTGGCTTCTTCAGGTGGAGTTCTCTGTCCCTAATTACTAAATAGAACTTTGGCCAAGGTTATCGGGTTACTTTCTATAATTACTTTTAACAGCATGCTGACAGGAAGTTTTCAAGACTGAAGCTGTTCCTTTATCAACTGTTAGCTTGCTTTTTTGGGATGGGGGGAGAAATAGAAAAGTAAATGAGAAACACAGTAAATAATGTAATGTTAATTATTCATTGAACTCTATAACTGTTACTTTGCAAATACTGTAACAAGGGAGGGGGGAGAGAGAGAGAGAGAGAGAGAGAGAATGAAAGAATGAAAGAAAGAAAGAAAGAAAGAAAGAAAGAAAGAAAGAAAGAAAGAAAGAAAGAAAGAAAGAAAGAAAGAAAGAAAGAAAGAAAGAAAGAAAGAAAGAAAGAAAGAAAGAGTGGGCAATTTGAGTCCCGGTATATTTAAAACAACTTGGGCCAGTAGCTATTGTGACTGATTTTGTGGTAGTAAATTTCACAAGCACAAAGACAAAGCCTGGACAGCCTTTTACATCCTCCAAGGCCTTTGTAGAGGCACACTACAGAGAAATAGCAGCCACAAGCTCCACCTTTACCTCTGCACTCACGCCATGCTGAGGGCTCGTGGTAGCGTGAGCTTTTCTTCGAAGCTTCACCGCCAGGTGTTCAAAATCCCTCAGTTCAGAGAAACGGAGGGCTCTCTGTCCTCTCACGGCGACGGTGAGGGCTTTGCTGGCCGGGTCAGCCACCTCAACCGCGATGACCTAGAGGCAACAGCGGACATAAACATTCCAGCCACCCCCTTGGCCGGCATTCAGAGCTCTTAAGCACATTTTCAGGGTGCAGGGGTGTCTCTTTAATTTGGAGAAATTAACTCAATTTTATTCTGAAATGGTCTAAAACAGGGGTCTTCAAACTGCGGCCCACGGGCCTCATCTGCCCCACGTTGCCATTTTGTCCAACCTGTTCTCTTCAGCCCTGCACGCCCGTGAGTGGGGCGGTGTGTGCGCGCGTGCATGCAGAGGTGTATGGGGGGCATGCGTGTGTATGTCTGTGTGTTGCGGGCAGCAGACCGTGCATATGCGCATGTGCACACACACATTCCTGTTCCTTCGGCCCTCAAAAATTTTGAAAATATCCGATCTGGCCCTCACTGTAAAAAGTTTGGAGACCCCTGATCTAAAAGCTCAACTCACTCTGAGCTTCATTCCTGTTACACCTCACTTATCTTCTCCAACTGTTTTCCAAAGGCACCATCCAAAGCCATTAAAACCACAACTTAGGCTACAGCTGGTGCAGTTTATGACCACAAGCAAGGCAAGGCAATAACCCAAGGCTTCTTGACCGGAAATGTTCAGTCCACTCCCCAGGGTCTTTGAATTCCAGAAGGAAAGACCGACTGAACACAGAGGCTGCCCCCCTGGCTCCCCCGTCACGTCCAGCTGGCTTACCTCTCTCAGTGGAATGACAACGCAGCACAAGGAGCCGTCCTGGCTGGCAAAGCAGACATAGTTGTCAGAGACGCACATTTTCCCCAGAGTGTTGTAATGACTAAAAGGCACCCACAAAAAACACTCGTGGACTTCCTGAAGGACCTCCTCTTGGGGCAGTCGGAAAAAGGCACAGAACTGCTCACTGTGGGCTCGGTTCTCAAGGCCCCTGGAAAAACAGAAGCAAAGGGGGCCATGGGCTGGTAAACGCCACGACAGTCGCCAACGCTTCCAGTGGCAACCACTGCTGTTAAGAGAACGATCCACGTCCATAACCTTTTGCCTTTCCAAGCCCTCCTCTGCCTCCTCAGATGACACTCCACCCTTTTGAGCAAGTGGGTGCAGCCCATGAAAACCTATGTCTGGGAGACCTTCTTAGATCTGGATCCAAGGGTTTTAACAAAAGAATGGGTTCCAAAACACATATTGGGGCACAAAGGCAGTTCCCAGGCTGGGAACCAGAGGCCAGCCCTAAGCAGGAAGAACCTTTGATTCCACCCCCCACCCCTGTGTTTTGAATGACAGCTTCACTAATCCCATATTACTGTCCCACCTAGATAGGACTTTTGGGAATTGGGAAATCCAAATCCCATAAAGAAAGGTCCTTCTCAGCCCTACTTGCTTTCCCCCAAGGAACATAGAATTCTGGGAGTTGCAGTCTAAAAATATGATTGCACACCTTTACTGGTGATACAGCAGGAACGTGGAGGATCGATCCTAAGTCTCCCTGTGGATGCTGAAAAACACTATTTTAATAGTGAACAATATATACAGTGGTGCCTCGCTTAGCGATTGCTTGGTTTAACGATGTATTCGCTTTGCGATGGGCTTCGAGGAATTTTCCGCATCATTTAACGATGATCTCTATGGGGGAATTTCACTTAACAATGTCCGTTTTTGCTCATTTAAAAGTGTCTTAAAATGTTTGAAACCTGTTTTAAATGGTTGGAATAGTTAGTCCACCTTGTGAAACCTATGCACACTTAGTTTGGCTTTGTTCTTAGTCTTCATTAATTTTTGGTGAATTTTTATTTCCCTCATTGAAAAGCATTGGACGGACTATCTGTTCAATGGATTTAAATGGGGAAAACAAAATATCACCAAAAATTAATGAAGACTCAGAACAAAGCCAAATTAAGTTTGCACATGTTTCACAAGGTGCACTACCGAATCCAAGCATTTAAAACAGGTTTCAAACATTTTAAGACACTTAAAAATGAGCGAAAACAGACATCGGAAAGCCATTCAAAAGCACTGAAGCCGGCTTCAGTGCTTTTGAATGGCTTTCCGATGTCTGTTTTCGCTCATTTTTAAGTGTCTTAAAATGTTTGAAACCTGTTTTAAATGCTTGGATTCGGTAGTGCACCTTGTGAAACATGTGCAAACTTAATTTGGCTTTGTTCTGAGTCTTCATTAATTTTTGGTGATATTTTGTTTTCCCCATTTAAATCCATTGAACAGATAGTCCGTCCAATGCTTTTCAATCCCTTGATGAATAGATATTCAATCTACTTCCATCTCGTGACGTCATTTCCTTCTCATTGTTTCCAAACCCTTACCTCTTGGTGATTTGTAAGGGATCACAGAAGACGGGGTCGTTTTCAAACGTCTCCTTGTCAAAGAGCCTTCGGACAGCGTAGAGCGCCAGTTGCTCCATGAGAAGGAACGTTTCACTGATATGGAGAAACATAGAGAAGTAGTGATCTTCCCCACGGGAGGAGACATGGATGCTCTCCGTCAGAATCACGTTGGACGTCTTTTCAAGTTTTGAGATTTCATCCCAGGAGATGATGAGTTTTACTGCAGGTAGGAGTTTTAAAAAGAAAAGAAAAAGGAGGCGGAATTACATCTTACAAAAGAGATGGGCAAGTTTTGGGGATATGGGGAGGTGGAGCTTCTGGCGTGCCCCCTGAAAAATGCCTGCTTCAAGCTATTTTGCTGCTCATCATTAGTCCCTACTTGACCTCATTCCTCCTTCACAAAGACGGATAACATGAAATGAAATTCAACGGACTGAGTTATGAGATTTCTTGCAAATCCAGCAGCAATTCTGAAGAATGGAAATTTTGCTTTCAGGGCAGAGGACTGGGTGACTTGGCCAGTTTTTCTGCCCCTGGGATACTCTGGAGGCTGCATGGACTACTAGAAATATGGGGGGAAATGAAATGTGGGAGGAGAATACCAAGGCTGGCTTTTATGTATATTTATTGTATTTCTGGAACCCCTGAAGAAGCTGATGGCATATACCAAGACCCAGGTCTATAGAGCCTGTGTCCTGAGTACACTCCTATACTGCAGTGAGCCCTGGACCTTTGTGCACGGCAGGAGAGGAAGCTGAACACCTTCCATATGTGTTGTTTCTGACACACTTTTGGTATCACCTGGCAGGACAAAGTCCCAAACAGAGTAGTCCTAGAATGAGCTGGAATTTTTAGCATGTATACATTACTGAAACAGCGATGTCTACGTTGGCTTGGACATGTTGTGAGAATGGCTGATGGTCGGATTCCAAAAGATCTCCTGTATGGAGAATTAGTGCAGGGAAAGGGCCCCATAGGGAGACCACAGCTGCGATACAAGGAGATCTGCAAGCAGGGTCTGAAGGCGTTAGGAATGGAACTCAACAAATGGGAAACCTTGACCTCTGAGTGTTCAGCCTGGAGGCAGCCAGTTCATCATGGCCTCTCCCAATTTGAAGAGACCCTTGTCCAGAAGGCCAAGGCAGATGTCGACCTGAAGCTAGCAAAATCAGGGCGCTGGACAGGGGACAGATTGTATTTGTCCTCAATGTGGAAGGATTGTCACTCCCGAATTGGCCTTCTCAGCCACACTATATGCTGTTCCAAGTCCTCAATTCAGAGCACGTTACCATAGTCTCTCGAGACTGAAGGATGCCTACAACTTCCAGAACCCCATTGAGAAATACGGCATCTAATCTTAATCACCAAATTGTCGACAACCAGAATAGGCAACTTTTGCTTACTGGCATGGTGCTTTGCTGAAACATCTATTTTTTGGGGTGGGGGGGAGAGACTTTTTTCCCCTCACTTTCCTCATAGTGACCAAGATATAAATCAAGAGGTTTTGTTGGGATATTCCATTTTTAGTCTGAAGGAGAAAAAAAAGGCAATGTTTTTGCTACAATAAACTAACCCAGTTAACTCTCCTGGAAAGTACTGTATTAAAGAAACATTTCTGACATTTGAGAAAGCAAGGATATTTTTAAACATGCCACTGGGCTCAGAGAAATAGAACCATAAAGGAATGATGGCATGACCCCCCTCGCCACTTACTTTCAGCTCCCAGAAGAAAGGAGTAAAAGCTAAGGAAGTTGGTGCTCAGGTACAGCCACCCCTGGCAAGGGACCCGGCCTCTCCAGTAGCTGCAGGAATAGTACGTCACCAGCTTCTCCTGCTCGGCCAGCCCAAAGCACTTCTCAAATTTCATATGCGCCTCACGAAACCTTTCCGGATCTTCCTCTTTTATTAAAGATCCTTTACTTTCCTCAGCGATCAAACCCTACAAGGAAGAGGCATAGAAGAGGTGAACATGTAAGAGTCCACGCAAGATCAATCACCTGAGGGACAGAGTTTTGAGAAGTTACTCCTGCAGACTACAACCAGTGGCATTTCCCACCCAGTAAGGTCAATCCTTTGTGCAGATTTTAGGAGTTGCCAACCAAAACAAACAGCACTTCCAAGCTTTTGGTCGGATGAAGAGTCAACCTGCTTCTTGGCCCTGGGGATCAGGATCTGCAGGATTACAAAAGATTTGCGTGCCTCGGAAGGTGTGAGGCCATGAGATTTGAAAAAAAAAAAACCCAGACGTAACTCTTCTAACATGATCTCACTCCATGTAGAATATTACAATATATGTAATACAATATATGTAATATATGTAATACAAGTTCTTCTTGTTCTTTCTCTCTGACTGTGCAGCTTGCTCAAGGCTACACAGGTCGACTCCTCTCCCAGGAGGCACAGTGAGGAACCAAACTCCTAAACCCTGGCTCCACAGCCAAGTTTCACAACTCACTGAGCTATGCAGCCAGTATCTAGGAGTGTCTAGGAGGGGAAAAAATTACAGAGCAAGAATCCAGAGGGAAACAGCTGAGATAAAATATATGCAACTTGAGCCTATCAACCACTACTATCCCTTTATCTTAGAGCCCTGTATGAATGTTTTACCACGTAGTCTCTGTATTTTCACTCTTATGGGAATACGAAGAATAGGAAGAAGCGGATTTATGCCACGAAAGCATGCATTAAAATACAGTAGTGTTTGTTGTTGTTAATATTAGTTTGCTTTCATTTTGTGTGTGTGTTTCTTGTTGATATGCATGCAGAGACTGACACAGCTATCACTTCAAACATTATATCTAGGAGTAAGTGTCCCTGAAAATAATGGGACTTATTTCTTGAGTAGACCTGTAAGGCATAAACACCCATAATAATAACCGTGTGTCCTTTGGTCAATCCCAACACAAATATAAGCAGCACACTTTGCTTTGCTTTAAATTACTCAGATGTGGTTCACCGTTCCCTTCTTCCGGGGGTGTCCTGGGACTGTGCAGCTGGCCCAAGACGGCCCTTGCTGGATCTACCTCTGTAAAGCATAACAGGAAATCAAACACTCGACCTTTGGCTCCACAGTCAGCTACCTAATTCACTAAGCAATCCACCTCAGCTGAGGACACATAAACCTGCATCTGAATAAAGAAATCCTGTTAAAGGAAAACACATCCTACACTAGTTTTTAGATGATGCAGACACATCTCGTAAAAGCCCCTCCCCAGGTCAGCGAAGCCCCCCCTTGAGGAAAAAGGAAAAAAATCTGACTGAGAAAAAAAGCGCCTTGAGACAGTTTATAACAGGTTCTACGCACCCTGATTTTCCCGTGAACAAAGCTGGTGATGTCCTCACTGGAATCAAACACGGAGAGGGTTTTCATAATGTTCTCTTCCAGCCAGTCCCAGTGAGCTGTTATTTCTTCTCTGCTGGCCCCTGAACAGAATATCTAGCATTAAATACATGTCACCTGATTCAAAGGGACCAAAGAACCCGGCCCCTGGTGCCCCCTTTCGTCATATTCAATGGGGGGAAGGGATCCATCTCTTAGGGAAAGATGTGACGAACACGGGTTAATAAACGGATTGGAACCCAGTGAGGCTCGCTGGCTGGCTGATTTGTTTATTTATTGCGTTTACATTCCATTCCACATCCTCCTCCTCCTCTTAGAACTGCAGCGCTAGAAGGGACCCTATGGATCATTGAGTCCCGGCCACTGTCAAGGAGGGCCAGCAGGGAACTGAACCCCCGACCCCTAGCTCCAAAGCCAGATGTCTCAACCCCTGGGCTATCCAGCATTTCTTTCCAGGAGGATATTTTATAGCAGTTTATATATCAAAAAATGAGAAAGGAGGAACAGATCTGGCTGTCAGGCTTACAATCAGAGCAGGCAAGAGATAAAAGGAAAAGGAGTTGCGGGGGGGGGGGGGGAATGTTCTTACGTTAAAGCTAATATTTTTGTCCAGGGAGGGGGCCGACCAGCCATTAAAGCCTTGGAGGGGGGGCCTCCTGGGGTCAACAGGAATTCTTGCCCTTTTCCAAGCACTTCTGGCTACGGAAACAGGTATGGGATGGCAATAGCTTTCCTACAGTCTCCAAATTGGATTAAGGCAGCTTTGTAAACGAGCCCAGGGAAAAGCTAACAGCATGCAAAAATGTTTAAGAGTGGAAGCCTTCCAGCAAACGCTGACAGACAGCTCCAGTCAGTTCTACGCTAGGTGTCTGCGTGGAAGGACACGTATTTTCCTGCTAGCAGCTCCTTACCACCTACGGTTACCAGGCAAGTGATTAAATACAAGCCTGAGTTAAATAAATAGATGGTTGTAGAGGTGGGAGGGGAAGAGAACAATCAAGAGCTTGGAAAACAATTACGTTTGGGGAGCACAGCCACTAGAACCCCCTCAGCCAGCCTGGGCATGTTGACTCTGGGTTTCTTGTAGAGCGGTGGCCCAAAAAGTAACTTCCCCAAGTTTTGGCATCAGGCCACACGGCAGTTTCATTCACACATGCCACTGGCCAAAGGGCTTAAATCCAGGGCGAGGAACTTGTGCTGCTGCTCTCCAAGTACTGCAGGACTGTATGAGCTCGAGTATAAGGCCATGGTGAGAGATAACAGGAGTTGTTGCCTACAGAATCTGGAAGGCTCTAACATCTGCTTTGAATTTTCATCATCATCTTAGAACTGCAGAGCCTGAATTTTCATCATTGTCATCTTAGAACTGCAGAGCTGGAAGGGACCCTGTGGATCATCAAGTCCAGCCCCTGTCCAGGAGGCACCGTGGGGGCAAACCCCCCCCCCAACGTCTGGCTCTGCAGCCAGAGACCTAAACCACTGAGCTATCTGCCCAGCAGTTTTTGTGTGAGCAAAAAAGGACATGCAAAGGATCCTATTGTGATGAGGGAATTCATTGACAGCTAGAAAGCTCATGTTATGGGAGTCTGAAAGCAAGCTGCGCGAAACGGCTCCTCCCCAGTGTCAGGGTGCCGACTCCTTTGGTCAAGGCGGCACTAAGAGCAACGGGCATCCTGGTCACACCTCTCAACATAAACAATAAAAGCGCACATATTCCGATTCTTCCTTTGTGCTTCCAAGGAGCTGGAGCACAATCGTTTGCATGCGGTACCAGAAGAGAAAAAAAATAGTTACTGGACTAACTGGTGGGAAGGCACAGTCAATCCTGTGGCATTTGGATGGACGTGGAAGCAAGACTTACCGGGAGGGGTCTGACCTGGAAGACCCCTCACCAGATTCAGAGAGAAACCCAGAAAGCTTAAAAGTCAAGCATGCCAAGGGAGCACAGGCCTGAACACAGGGGGAACTCTTGGCTGAGCTTGGCAAAGTTACATTTTTAATGATAACTATCAGAATCATCGAGCCAGCAGCTTTTAATGTTGGGAGCTGGATGTTCTTTTTCCTGTGTCCTTCTAAAACTGCTTTCAATTAAGCTTCTTTCTTTGTTTGCATCAGAGGATCGCACAATTTAAAATTATGAGTGTATATGAATAGAGGTAAACACTAAAAACAAATTAAAATGCTATTGTCATTTGTGGTCCTCAGTTTGCAGTGCAACACTCTTGGAAGGGAAGGATTGGCCTTTTGTTGCCCACAGGAGGCCAGGTGTCCTCACCATGCTTTCCATTTGTGTTTCCCTATTTATAAGTCTTGTGGGCGTTTTTTAAAAAAATGCAAGTCATGAATTGCTTTGGACCCCAGAACTGGAGAAAGGAGGGGCACAAGTTAAATTAAACAACGATGTTGTAAAAAATGTAACGTTCCTGAACTCTGTTTGCTTGTCCGTTATTTAAGATGTCTCGTTACTCCGAAACAGGAACCCAAAGTAGTTTACAATTAATTAAAACAAGGTAATAAACACAAGAACACAAAGGCTGAAATCCTGTTCGTGTATGTTCCAAGGCATAAAAGGCTGATGATGTCACTGGCCAGGGGCAAAGGTTTTGAAAATTAAACCTTTCCGCCTCCTGTAATTGGGACTGTGGCAATTTGGGGTAATTAAAGACTCCCCCCTCCCATTCCTCAGCCCATCATATGTTCCTGAATATTAAAAGGATGACTTGGGACCCGCAAATGCCACAGAATGGAAGGAGGGAAATATTTACTTTTCTAAAAATTACCCTGTCTGATGCTGCCAGCAGCTTTACCCCATGAAATATATACAAACAGGAGTCGCACACAATATTAAAATAACAATTAAACGGATAATATTAAAAAACTATCATTTAAAAACACCTGAAAAACCACTGTTCAGTAAGAAGGGGGAAAATGCATGTGCAGCTTCTCATCTCATGTTTGCTTCTCCAGCTCAGTGCAGTCTACCTTAACTTGCAGCAGTTCCACAGGGTTTCAGGGAGATGAGCATTTATTCTGACACCTCCTTAGCAGACCCTTCGAATTAGAGACACCAGAGGTGGAAGCTGGAACAGTGTGAAAACAAAGTGGGTGCTCTAACCACTAAACCAGGCTTCCTCCCAAAGGGCCGGAGGGAAAGCAACGGGAAACCCTGATCTGGCCCGGAGAGGTGGCATTTCCCCATCCTAAGCTACGGCACAGATTTGCCCTACGCAAGGAGGTGCTTCATTCCTTTCCCCCTAAATCAGCCGTACAGCCTCCCTGGGACGGCTCTGTTTGGATTTCCCTCTACTTACCGCATGCAATGGTCCAGTACACTTGGGAATCCGGAGTCTGGTGCAAGATGCGGAAAGGGGCCACTTTGGAGGTGGAATCGAGAACGGCATCCAGAGTTCCCACCAGGAGGCCTGTGAGATGAAAGACACAGCTTAAGACCACAGTCACAGATATTGTTTCTGCAGCACCCATTAGGGATCAGATTTTGCACCCCATGACGGCCGGGCAAGGTGACAAGTTCTGAAAAAAGAAAGCCTACGAGCGGAGAGACATGCTCCGTAAAACATTTGTGGTGGGTAAAGGCGTGGAAGGAGCAAGCCACAAGGCATGCACCATCACAAGGTCAGGCAGGTATTTCCCCGTATCTATGGGACATCAATTCCAAGCCCCCTCCCCCTGCGGAGGCTGAATAATGTGGATTACAGCAAATGCTAGTAAAATAGTGAATGCTACACATTACATGGTCTCTGGCGTCTTCTCGTGGCCCGTTGTGATATAACATCATGGAAATATATTTCTCTAGCAAATACTGTACATAGCATTGTCTTCGTCTCCCTTTGTTAACTTCATCTTTAGAAATATATTTCTAGGATATTTTTAATAGTTTCGGACTGTGGATAAGTGAATCAGTAGATACTGATTGTGTGGGTCAGGGGGATCCTACTGTACTGTGAAAAGAATTCGAGACTGCCCTGGCTGTTTTTCATTGAAGCGTTGAAGCAGGCAAATTTCCAGGTGTCAGCATGCCTTTTCTGGCCATCAACCAGTGACCTTGGGCCAGTCACACACTCACGGTTTCACCTACCCCACAGGCCCTTGGGGGGGAATCTGTTGTAATGGAAAGCCTCTTAGGGTCTTGCAACATTTTTGGGAATCTTTGGGAAGATTGGGCACCCCTTTTTCTTACAAGAGGCCCAGGGCAAACACCAGCCAGGGGATCCACACCCCACTGCCACAACCGCCCAGAGATGTTTGTTACTGGTGTCACTCCAGAGACATCCATCCACTTGGCTTGTAGCAGCCCTCAGAAAGCGGTGGCTTGCCATTCCTCTGGAGGCAAAGTGAGAGACACCCAGAAAGGTTTTCGTTTCATGCATAGCAAGCTATGCTGCCGTTTAAATCCAAACACGATCACATCTTCCACATCTGTAATCTAATCTTTCCCTCTGCCCAAGAGCCTATTACCCTGACATTAAGAATTACATTTCTGTTTGCTGGAAGGATGCTTCCGTGCTGAATTATTCATCACACTGAGTGTGTTTTGCAGCTGACTTCCTCCTCTGCATAGACAACTTTATCAGAATACCTTTTATTTATCTTTCTTTTTTTTTCTCTCTCTCTCTCTATTGATCTTACAAACCACAGGGAGACCAAGTGCAAATCCTCTCTCTCTCTCTCTATTGATCATACAAACCACAGGGAGACCAAGTGCAAATCTCACGAGAGAGACAGAGAATTTTTACAATACCGACTCAACAAAGCAAGGTGCCAAAACATATTTGATGTTATTGATGAAAGAGTGACCATAGATCATCAGTTTTGAAAGGCAACTTTGGAAATAAGCTCCCCAAATTTTGTACGGTGGGTTATCAAGAGCCTGAAAGGATAAAATCGAAGCCTATCCTTCCGTTTTACGGACACTTCCCCCATGGTTTGCCCACCAAAAGTTCTCTTCTGCTTGACAGGATAGTAGAAACAGCCCTGCTGGTTGGGCCTAATGGGAACGGTTGGCCAAGACATTGAAAGACCAAAAATTCCCCATCCCTAGATTAAACTTCCCATCCCTAAGCAGTCATGTAGCAGTAAATCTGGAAATGCAGGTGGTCACAATGACAGTCGACACAGACACAACCCACAAAACTGAAGTCCAAAAATGCAGGTTTCTTGATTGGGCTATTTCAACAAATGAGTAGCAGGTCTTCTGCGCAGCTCGTGGCTCTTAGCTGCCCATTCAAGACCAAACTACCCTCAAATGCTTTGGATTAAAAGAGCGATCTATTGCGACAATATACAAATCTTGGAGACATCCTCTGCTCTCCCAGCTACCATGAAAACTGCAGCTTGTCCCAGCTCCTGCCAACCTACAAGAGCAATCTATTGCAACAATATACAAATCTGCAGCTTGTCCCAGCTCCTGCCAACCTAGCAATTTGAAAGCATGTAAATGCGAGTAGTTAAATAGGTACCACCTTGGTGAGAAGGTAATGGCGTTCCATGTCTAGTCGCACTGGCCACGTCACCAGAGAAACTGTCTTCGGACAAACGCTGCCTCTACGGCTTGGAGACATGGATGAGCACCGCGCCCTCAAGTCAGACACGACTGGTCTAAATGTCAAAGGGAACCTTTACCTTTACCTATCCTTTGTGGGGTGGAAGAAAATGTAGCCCAAACACAACCAGAACGACAGAGACACAACAGCGTGCTTTAAAGGGTAGGACGGGCTAAAAGATGTGCCCTTATTTTAAACAGTCTCATCAGTACAAATAAATTTAATATCAATATTAATATAATACTAATTATATTAACTATAATTTAATATCAAATTTCAGAGGACATAAAATTATGATTGAGAGCACTTCCACACAAATACCACTTTCATTTACTTTCACAGGATAAAGCCACACTTTGTAAACCTGCAGTATTAGTCATGCCCAACCATTGCTCGGTGACTCAAAGCTTGCTCCTTCCAGCTAAATTATTTTGCTACATTCTCTTTGGCACCATTCAGTGTAAAACAAATTGCAATCTCTTCGTTCCTGGCCTCGAACCAACAAGCAAGTCTGTTTAAAAGCCAAGAGGGGAAAATGACAATGGCTACTTCAAAATTAAATATAATAAAATAAAAGCATGGGTAGCAAAATATACAATGGCACGCATATGAGATAAGATGAAGCCCATTCTTATTTGCAATCTTTATGCTACCTGGGATAATGGATGACTCAACTGCAATTCTCACTCCGTGGGTGGCTTGTAAAAATGACCACTTGCCTTGGAGCCTGTGGTGGGTAAGAACTGTTTCCAAGCAGGGAAGAGCTTGTCAAACAGAAGAGAAGAGGTTTGCTCTATCTGTGCCACAGTTCGGGCCAATGAAATGCTATAAATGGCAAAGACCGGCTCTATCATTTGGCAGAGGGGGGTGATTGCCCCAGGCAGCAGACTGAATGCATAAAATAAGGGTTTAAAAATCATTTTAATTTTGTTGTCATATAATTTTCCTTAATGTCAGGGATAGGGAAAATTTGTTTGCAGGATTTTTGGCCAGGGAGCAAAATAATCTGGTTTGCTTTCAGTAATCTAGGCTTTGATTTGGCAGCTGGGACCTCATGCCAGTTTGGGCAGCCAGACCATTGGAGCCAGTCCTACAAATGACCCGTGTGGACCAGGGACTGCCTTGACTAATGTGCAAAGATGATCTGACCATACCGAGATGTGGCAAAGATCTTTTCATTAAAACAGGTGTTCAATGGGTCCGCTACTGAGAAACGGTCTTTTCTCAAATGAATGATGGACTTGTTTCATCCATCTGGCTTCAGAACTTGTTTAACTTCCTTGTGGGTTTTAATACTATCATTTGTCTTAATCATTCATTTAATGCCGTATTTTTCGCACCATAAGACGCACTTTTTCCCCACAAAACAGGGGGGGAAGTCTGTGCGTCTTATGGAGCGAAGAAAACAAATTATATTTTCCTGTTTTCTTCTCCTAAAAAATTGGTGCGTCTTATGGAGCGAAAAATACGGCATATACTTCACTCTTCCTTATACAGTGGACCATCGACTTACAGACGGCTCGACTTACACACTTTTCGAGTTACAGACTTCTCTGGCTGAGGCCTTTTCTCAAATGGATGATGGCTTCATCTGGCTTCAGAACTTGTTTAACTTCCTTGTGGGTTTTAATACTATCATTTGTCTTAATCATTCATTTAATATATATTTCACTCTTCCTTATAAAGTGGTTTGGCATCATAATTAAAAAAAAAACCACAGTTAAAATCACAACCCATAAAAATCGGTTTGGCATCATAATTTAAAAAAACCCACAGTTAAAATCACAACCCATAAAAATCACAAATTGAAAATTCATAAAATTACATACACCTAAAGTTACAGATGACTGAAACAACAAAACAGAAGTCTCGGTAAAAATATAATAAATGTATGACAATTGAGGAAGGTCAAAGACAAATGAATCACTTCAAGCGTGCACAAATATATAATGTTTTTAACTGGCACCTGGAAAACAAAGTGTACAACAGAGGGATTTGACAGAAAGGGGTTCCACAATTTTCAACATTACAACTGCTGGGTTCAATTTCTATTTTGCCTTCAGTCACATTATATGACCCACTCTGAGTCCTCTGTATTCAAAGAAAAGTATGATACTCGCATAGATTTTTTTTTAAGGCTGGCATTTGGATAATACTGTCTGCTACTTAGGGGACTAGGAGAAGAGACGGCAATAAAAACAGGTAGCTCAATCCAGTCATCTCCTGGGGATTACATCATCAATACATGCATCCTCTGAGAAGCAAAACGGCTCCTGCCTCATTCAACCACAACCTGTTTCAAGAGCAAATGAAGAGTAACCCATTAGGATGCAAGTTACCAGCCAAAATATATACCGGAGTAAGCATCTTTATGAGGCCAACTGAAATGAGAGGGAAAATGACATGTAAACTGATGTAGATCTACAGATGACTAGATTTACAGCATGTAAGGTGGTTGGGAAACTGTAGTCCTGTCACCTCCTGGCAAATAGAAGAGCAAGATATGGAGGCAGTGACAGATTTTACTTTCTTGGGCTCCATGATCACTGCAGATGGGGACAGCAGCCACAAAATTAAAAGACACCTGTTTCTTGGGAAGAAAGCGATGACAAACCTAGACAGCATCTTAAAAAGCAGAGACATCACCTTGCCGACAAAGGTCTGCCTAGTCAAAGCTATGGTTTTTCCAGTAGCGATGTATGGAAGTGAAAGCTGGACCATAAAGAAGGCTGACCACCAAAAAATTGATGCTTTTGAATTGTGGTGCTGGAGGAGGCTCTTGAGAGTCCCCTGGACTGCAAAGAGAACAAACCTATCTGTTCTGAAGGAAATCAACCCTGAGTGCTCACTGGAAGGACAGATCCTGAAGGCTCCAATACTTGGGGCATCTCATGAGAAGAAAAGACTCCCTGGAAAAGACTC